GAGGAGCCCCGTGAATAGTGTACACTCCACACGAACAAAATACTGTTTGAACCAACAGTTGATTTTGTAAGCTACTCATCTCCATCGCTCTTCGAGTGGCTTAAAAGCCGGCATCTATAATTGGTTCGAAACAAAATGTGGTGAATAATCTTAACTGCAAAACTTTGGATCAACTCATCTGTTTGGTTTATTTGATCCCCCGAATGGAAAGTCCTAATCATTCAGCTGTAACACTCTTCTGGTGCCTAACTGCCATGCCACAAGAAGGAAGCACGCGGGCTGGGATACTGTCAGGTTGCCCAAGTTTAGACAGGAGAAATCGAGAGATAGAGGTTGGGTTCGTACCACCGACCTTCCCGACAGTAAATTCGCACTCTAACCACTTGAACCATCTCGCCCCCGGACTTCGCGTGATATCGGAAAACGCTAAATAGAAAGGTGTTGCTTTTTAGACGAGTCCGGAAATTTTTATCTTTGTGTGTTTACGCCGCCATCTATACGGACCGTTTGACACCGGATCTAAGTATATTTTTTTCTCCCACGCCTATCCAAACAGACAGCCCTCAGTCCACGGGGCCATGGCTGGAATGCACATCCTTTGTGGACTGTAGGAAAAGCACTGGTGTGGATACCTTAACTTCGGTTAATTATCCCACTGATTTAACACTGCACCACTCCCATAAGGTGTCCATAACTGGTCCAGTTTTACAAACTCCACGCAGTGGAAGATAGGTGTGCAGTAGAGACACCTCCAATCTACAAACATATCGTTAATGGAGTTCACATCCTCACGTTTCAGTCACATCGTTGGTGCACTTCATTTGCGACTCGTTTTGCCTCCATCATCATCATTGGTGATTTCACTGTGTGCTTGTTTGTCTCTCCGAACCAACACCTAAAAGTGCTTGCTAGTTGGTAAGCACTAGAATCAGCCGCACTTTGGTCTGTACGAATGTGGACGGTACAGCAACAACAACAACCGCTGCACACACACACACACACACCCAATTGTCCTCAGTCAAAACAATAGATCAAACCATTTCTGATAGACATACAAGTAGAGCAATGCGAATTTGTTTATAACGATGATAAGCTAATCACAAAAACTGTAAACGATGAGCTCTGTGACCGAAACTGTTCAAAACCACACTGTGCTCGACGTTTTGTCAACTTCCACGATGGATTGTTACCGAAAAGGATGACCGTGGTATACACGGGTCTATACGTGTTGGTAAACTTATGAGCACTATTGATTCTTCCCACAAATTGCTTGTTGTATCCATAGAGAATCAGCCGAGAAACGCTAGTTTTACACACTGAGAAGTTATTCCACCGCCCGCGGCAAAGTGACCTTTAGCCAGGTGTCATTTAGAATGGAAACAGTGGTTTCACGAATAATCCACGATTTGGTCGTGCATTTTACTGTTGAAATTCCATCTGTTGGTCATAAGCCTTCATGGGTCCATCCAGTGTAAACCGGTGGTCATCAGAGGGATACTGTCCCCCTAGAGGCTTTTTTCATTCACGCAGGGAAGGTGCCTACTTCCAGGGGGGACTTGGAAGGCTATGGCACAAAGACACAATGGAGCTGTTTGCAAGATTTCCTTCAGTCTTATTATTTCAGCTTTCCAATGATCAGTGTATCATTACTTCCTCGCAAGGAAGCGCGAATCGCTGTATCAAATCTACGTCTTCAGTTGACTGACCAATTAGCCGCCTCATGTCTAGTTGTCAAGATATTTTGTCCAACAGGAAAGCAACCCGAATGAACTACTTCGGTGATAGCGAATGTATACTCATTTGCAAACTAATTTGGTTTTTCGAGAGACTCACCTGGAACCCAGCTGAATCTCCCGTTTGTGATGTTCTCAGGCAGCTGAATGTGCTGCACCAGGCCGCCTCATGTGTCAGTCGCTACGGTATTCGAGATATCGCGATACATGTATATCTTTGTAATGTACTACTTATAAGGTTGCTGAAAATCCGTCGACAGTCCACGACCTGTTTCACCCTTCTTGGGGATCATCAGGTAGGCGCAGTCCATGGGTTTCCATCAACCTTATGTTCTACTTGAAACCAAATTGCACGAAACTAGCGAATATACACTCAGCTGCAAACTAATTTGGTTCTTTCGAGAGACTCAACTGGAACCAAGCTGAATCTCTCATTTGTGATGTTCTCAGGTTGACGAACTGTCGACAGATTTTCAGTAACCTTATGAATAGTACATTACAAAGGTACTTCAGTGATCGTTTGAGTGACTTTATGGGTACCAGCGGAGTAAGGGGAGGTGCTCTGTAGCAGTTTCACGGTCTTTTTCATCTCCAGTTACCCGGAGCGATCATATCTGACCGATGCCCTCTGAACAAGCGGCGAGCACCAGGCGGTGGATGCATTTTCCGCCATATAAAGCAGAGTTGTGGGGTCACACTCAGCGCGCACAGTTAACCGATGTCCTGATAACTGACCACAGCTCCAAATGTACACGTGACAGGACGAGTTTGTGTAATCACGAGTGAAAGTACATGGTCATACCCAAATCATTCAATGAGGCAACCACTACAGTGAAGGCTTTCGTGTACAGCTTTTACTCGTCCATGATTCCCAAAAGAATTAAATCTGTTTTGGGTAGCACAATGGCTGTGTGGTGCGTAACTTCGTTCTCCAAGTCTGTGTGAGGGCGCCAGCTGCGAGTTCTTCCACCGGTTGCACTTCTTGCGATTCATTCTACCAGATGAAAATCTGGTGGTCAGCTGTAGGTAGGGGATGCCGCTCCGCCCCAGTTCGGAGGGGTAGTGAGGTAACCCTGAATACTGACAAAAAACCTTGCATATTAGAAATGAATCCTATTATGTAACTACTGTTGTGAGATTGAGGTTACATCGTAGTAGAAATTTGGATTCTTCAATAATATTCCCTTCCGGGATGGCGCTGTATGTGGAAGAAAATACCACCGTGAGAGCAAAAAACAACTTATTCACTTAAAGAGAAAGCAAACCATACTTATAAAGTGATGAACAAGAAAGGGATTAGTACGACGATCAAGATGGACACATTCAGCTGGAGCACCGTTCACATATTGGCTCAAGCGAGAACAAATAAAGAACATGAATCCACGGAAGCATGGCACTCCAAGCCACCAACAAACATATCAGCCACTGCAAACAAAAGAAGTACGGAACCACAGAACATAGGTGCGGGCGAAATAAGACAAACAAACAGTCAAGCTGAAGTAAGGAAAATACCAAAAATAAAAACCGCCATCACAACCAACCGAATTCAAGCGACACAGAAGGGGACCGTGCTAATAGAAAACGGACCTGAAACACCCCCAAAAGAGCTGATCAACTGACCAATTGAACAGGGGACATACAGACCACAACGCAGCACAAATCGCAATCGGGCCAATATTACCACAAGGTGCATACCAACTCCCCAATCACAAGGCAGGATATTAGATACTCTCCAAAAACTATACAAACGCAACAATCAACCATGCACTGAGGTCTCCCCTCCTTGCAAACCGATTGCCCCGCTCGGCGAACAGATCAACCATCAATAGAAGCCTCCAAAATTACTGCGGTATCTCACATATCGCTCTGTATAGTGACCGGTAAATTCTGTGTGATACGGAGGGTTAAAGCAATTTGTGAGCGTCTAGGCAGTGCTCGGGAATCATCAGGACAAACAGCCTGTGAGGGCACTGGGTGGTTGCGCGTCTGAGCGAGGCAACAGTGAGTTAAAGAAATTTATGAGCGCCCAGGCAGTGCTGGGAAATTATCAGGACAAACAGCCTGTGGGGACACTGGGTGGTTGCGCGTCTGAGCGAGGCACAGCTAATCGACTCTATTACAATACCCCGATGCGTCTTACCGTCTGAATGGAGTAAAAATAGATATTTTGAGTTCGCAACTGAGCACGTGACGTAGTTGTGTTTCATCAGTATGGAATTTGACATCGATATCCGGAAATATCACATTCACGTTCCTTCCATGACCCTCCATCCAGTAGTTTTCAGCGTATTGCAACAACATAGGTTATTTTTAAACTCTCCTTGCACGGTCACCGAAAGACAACAAAAAACAGAAACCTCCTTAGAAGAGGAACCCTCCTTCAAGCTGACGAATCTCTCGAAATTTTACTCGAAAAAAGGAGCGAACAACTCATCAGAGTAAGCTCCCGAGGACGCGCCGTTCACTAGATGCACTCAACCAGCCTGGGAGAAATTCTCCAAAAGCATTTGACGTTTTTTATATCATCGTGCTCTTACTATATGCCTTTTTTTATAGTTCACAGATCCACTTGATAATATTGCGAAGTGCTCTTCCAAGGCGGCCATTCAAACGCACACTCACTTGCATAGGAACTTGGTGTTAACAGAAGACTCAACCGCATCTACCGTTTAAAAAGTATAGCACAAATGTTACCCCAAGTTGAGCAAATATTCCAGACACTGAGGCACTTTTTCCTTGATACGACTAGGCCTGTGAGTAGAACTCATTGACAGACTCCTAAAAAAGATTTCTGCCTCTTTGAGGCTACCGATTCGTAATTCTACAGGGGTCACGGTACTCAAGTAGCCACCTGCTTCGCGTCAACTGCTGCATCGCTCACTGTCGCGTGAAGGCAGGAACACGTTCATATACCTCAAACTATATATTTAGGCCGGCGGTTCAAGTGGGAGTCGGTCTCCTAGCTAGACTGGGTAATTCGTCACCCCTCATGGCATGTTTCATCATCCGGAGACGGAAGGTAGCCGAGATCCGACATGGTTACCTGCATTGGTTTGCTTAATCACATACCATAGTATTCAACCTAAGAAAAGCAAGCATAAATAGCTAAACGAATTTGAAGGCGCGCAAACAGCGTCAGCCGGCCCCGTACTGTGCCCGACGGTTACCAAGCTCGATGCTGCAACCCGCCGAATGGCGGGTGAAAAAACTATACTGGATTTGTTATGGTCAACCGATCGCATAAGACAATGACCCCGTGGGGGCTGAATGGCCACACGTGGCCGTTACAACACAGTTGGACCAGATAGACAGGATGTTTCTGAATCTCCTGACATCAACGGACAGCAAGACTACGGTAAAGTTTGTTATTAACAGCGGACCTATCTAGGTATGTGTATCGAATTGCTCGACCGATGACATTGGGGTGAAAAGTGCATCCAGCTACAAACGCTGCGGCTACTTGCTGGTAAGGTCATGGTTGTTCAAGAGGAGCGGGAAAATGTTCACCCGCCCATGCATGATAATTCAGTGCATCCAACGTCCGCCGGCACAGCAAAGACGGATCGAATTCCAAAGTACCGTACGGCTGTTGACGAATTTCCATGGGTGTAACAGCCGATTTCAGTGGTTCCTTCCTACGAAGAGCCAGCCGGACCACACCGCGACGAGACTACTTGGACCAAAAGTGTGCATAGATGCTAGGAGTGTGCACCATTCAAAAGGTAGCAGTTGCATATGCGTAACGACGATTATGGTTGTAATCATGAACGCCCCCCCCCACTTGTCCTTATTCAGCACAATTTAGTCATCATAAATACCCTGACGTCACGATCCCCCGCTTCAAAAATTGAAGAATGTAAGCACCGGGATGCAGTTATGTTCGGAGGCAAAAAGTATAAGCATTTACAAGCATTTCCTCTTTCCAGTCGCATGAGGTGGGTCCATCCAACAAGTGAAATACCGAACTACTTATTGAGTACTGGCATTTACGACAGGTTAAGCCGAATAGTGTCCATGTAGAGAAAGCACCTAGTGCAGAACAAACCAGTCGTTCCAGTCACAATTTGAACCTACTCAGAATATTGGCTACCGCGAATCTACGAGCTTAGGTTAAGAACAGTGGAAAGCGTCCGTCAAAAATGATGCATACGTTGCGACTCCTATGAAGATTTTCATGAGTCAGCTGACGCTACTAATACTTAATAATAGCATGAAATCTTGAGACAAGATTACTGGTAGCGACTCACAAAACCCTTTGAGATGGCAGACTAGGATCAAGAGATAACCGCTGAAAAACGTACGGATGGAAGTTAACCGTTCTTCCGTCGTCAAAGCACCATGTCATGGTCGACTTTGGTGCTAGCCTCCCTACCCGACAAACCCACGCGTGGAATTTCCTGAGCTTTTGACCACAGTCGGAGGGGCTGCCAAGACGCTCTTTAAAGACAAGAAACAACAAGTGTTCAGCTGTAGCACCCTTTCGGTTCCTAGCTGCCATGATATTGGAAGTAGGAGTGAGGGCTGAGAAATTACCATGTTGCCCAAGCCTAGACAGGGACAGTAGAGATGCTGAGGTTGGGTTCGAACCACGGGTCTTCCTATCTGTAAGCTGGCGCCATCAATCTCCGTAGAATTTAGGCTCTCATTCCTATAGGGCGATTCTAGGTGCACCTTGTCATACCTGAGGAATACCACAGAATACCACTGTGACAATCATCGACCCCAACAATGAAAACGGTGAAAAGTCAGAACGACTGAGACAGTATTGCGTCCAAAGCCGACGAACACCTACGACGGCAAACAGTTGCAACAGGAGCTCATCTGACATTGGTGGCGATGAAAGTAAATATAGTGGGGCCAAATGGGCAGCGTAGTTGGAGAAATAAGTGTGTAACACAGCAGATTGAACACGAACCAACCAAATGCTTGTGCACGAAGACACAAACACAAGTGATGTTGAACTAAGGGGGCAGGCAGAAAAGGGGGGAAAGTACAGATGTATATAGGAATTGTTCGAGTGTAGAAAAACACACATCGGAGCAATCTGAAAAGACTTGACAAGGAAGTCGGACAGCGCTTACGTTGAGACAACACGCAAAGCTGCCGTCTGTGCATGTAAACGGGGATAGGACCAGTGGTTATGGTGTTTGTAGTATTAAAATAATCACCAGCTTGCAGAAAATTCGGGTGAACAAATCGCCCATCGGCGGTTGGGGGGGGGGGGGCAGCCCGTCGCAGATTGTGGCAGCATGCTACGGTTATTGGTGATGAAACCGCTAGAATCCGCCCGACAGGCTCATTACTTCGCGTTGTTGTCGAGAAGATAACGAACGTAAGGCACGTCGACGTCCTCACCATTCGCACCGCTGCAGCAAAGATCGAAAACCAAGGCCCTCACGTGGGGTGGGATGCGTTTCTTGCTGACGGTCTCAACCAACTGGCGAAGACTAGAAATGAGGGGAACCAAAAACGAAATGACAACAAATGGAATGCCTACGATGGGTACTAAGAAACGGGTATAAAGATGGTCACCACCACAAGAGTGAAACGCTAACAGTTGTAAAAAACCTGGATACGACAAGTCACCTGCTTAGGGTACAGGGCACAGTTCACTACCAAAGTTGGAAAAGTACCGTCCAAATCAGTTCTGTGAGTGAGTATTTTGGACGTAATCGTCGGAAATCTGATACAGATCATCCGGCTCACAGTCTCTCTCTCCTCGCATGATTACGGAAAATGAATTTACAAGACTGCTTCTATGCCACAGTTTGAGCATGCTGAGCAAGCACTAGAAACAGGACTAGCACACAATGACCAGTACACTTGGATACAACCACTGCTGCGTTTCTCTTCAAGTTTGAATGAAGATGGCCTTGTGAATAGCCACATATGTTGGCGTCGGTCAAGGTGAGCCTAATCAAATGAGGCATGGGAGGTCCTGAGAGATGAGCTGAACATCAACGCACATCACCATCATCTACGACCGCCACCAGTAGGTGATCCCTGGGAGGTAGAAAACGATGAACAGAACTAAACAGTCACTGGCACGTTGCGGATCATTACCCCACTTTTACTCAGAGGCGGTTCAGTTACGTTTACACACAGTACCTATAGTGAAGGATAGGGACTACATCCAACTTACGACATCGCAAGGCGTTCTTTTCGTCTTGCCTCGGGCATGAAGAACGCATACAGCATGGAGACATCTTGCGACAACATTGTCACGTCAAGTTTGTACTCATTCTAAAAGAGAAGGTGGTTGAGAAACAGAAATATCATTCACTTACTTTAAAGTGATCCAAAAAGTCTCGCAGTGTCATCGGCCCTTCTAGTTCGAATCGATCCCAAAGTGTGAATTCCGTGTCGAAGTACTTAGACTTTGCAGGGGGCAGCGGTTCGAAGAAAGTGATGAATGGTGCGGCAAGGTTGACGTAGGCATTCTTGTAAAGGGACAGGTCCCTGTGGCCTTGAACCAGCTGCACAATTAAAAGGAGCACAAGGTCAAATCCGAAATAGCACGAACGAGTGAAAGTTAGTTGAACACAGATTAGCTCGGTGGATTAGAAGCTCGGAAAGGTGATGCTCACGTAAAATGAAAACTATTTACACTTTGAGCCTCGAGTGAGGTCCTGAACGGAGATGCTACTCTCTTCTTGTCACAGCACGGGTTTTCGGCACAACGATCACCGTGTCCGTATTCACCCTCGTTTGGAAAGTCTTCCTGCCCTGGAACGTTTGTCAAGCAGATTTCAAGCGTATGTGGCACAGCTTGACGAGGAAGTCCCGACGGGCGTATCGATAGATCAAAACGACCGTAACAGATGCTGGTTCAGCAAATCAAAAGCCTCCCACAGGAGTGAAAACGGTACCGGCTTGGTAACAGTAATTCAGGTAAGTGGTGGAGTCGAGAAAGTACACTCACCTTGCATGTCCACGAATTCAACTCCCTGCAAGGCCAAGCATACATACTACCGATGAGCCTAACAAAAGCTAAATTGGAATTCAATGCTGCCTATTTTGGTGCAGCCTAACCGGAATAAGCGTCTAAAGAAGACCGTTCAAACGAGTGCCTTGAATACAAACACCAAAATCTTGCAGCTACATACAACTATGACATCCGTCGGTTTGGTAGATTTCCGTTTCATAACTTACTTTGATCAATAAAACAACAAACTGATGCACACAATCACGTCAACTCGTAACTGATCAGGTTGTCGTCTAAAGGATAATTGGAAACGTTCGTTCACACACACACATTCAACAAAACTAATGATGAGTAGAAGATAACTACATGGAGCAGATTATGCGAGCCTTTGGGGTGCAAGATAAATACCGCTTCGGTTATTTGTGAACTAACTTTGTACAACTCCAGGCAAACGAGACCGGCGACTAGGCTGGTGGTTGTAGCAATGGCGGGAATGATTTTTCCAGCGATGAGCTTGCTCTTCAAACGGTCTGCCGGCTGAATATCGTAACACATGGCTCGCAGATTGCTAGCAGCCACGATGAAATCCATGTGAAAGTTGGTGTCATCGTCCTTTTCAAACTCGACCACGTTGATTTTGGTATCCGAGAGGTTCTCTGTGGGAAATTTAGAAATGTGCAGAATTCCAGGTGAGATGAACATAAATGTTACTACAGAGCGACCGACATTTATTGCCGCCCAAAGTAGACTACGTTTGCGAGATGAAATACACCCATTCACTATAAGTGTATTCGTTAAAGTTTAAAGTTAGCCAGTCGGCCACAGGCAGTAGGCTACATGCTCTGATAGCCACATTTACCTACAATGCCAATTCACAGGTCGTGGCAGCGGAACTTATCAACAAGACAGACCGGAGCCTATGTGGACGCGCCTCGGAGCATTTGCCTCGCCGTCCCAGTCTGAACAATCAGACAAGATTTACAATCAACCCCGAAAAAAAAACCATACTCAGACCACCGGCCATCAAAAGATCGTTCAGAATCTTGCTCTGCAACCCTAGCGCGAAACAGTTGGCGTTTAGTGAGCCAATGGTAACTAATCACTATCGGCCAGTCTCTTCAGTCTTTTCTTTTTATCACTTAAAGGCTTTCAAAATATTGAGGTACGCTTTATGGATGTATGGCAGTGAAACATCCGTGTCAGCACTGATGTTGATGGAAATCCTGACATACGCGTTTAGCCTGCTTTGGATGCACAAAATTCAACCTTATTGGGTAACATATTGATTCAAAAACCCTACTTCGTTCAGCTAGCCTTAACACCCTTTCGGTGCCATGCCAACTGATAGAAGCACAACTGAAATACCACAACCGCTCTTCAGACATACACGCATTGTGTAGAAGCTCTCTTTGAAAACCAACTGTAAGCCGCCGATCGATCAGGCATTGATAAGCGCAACCAAGGAAAGAAATTGTTTCCACATATCGAAAAAAGGGCGTTCAGCTGTAGCACCCATCCGGTGCCTAGCTGCCATGCCACTCGAAGGGAGCATGAGGGCTGGGATANTACCACACCCGCTCTTCAGCCATACACGGATTGTGTCGAAGCTCTCTTTGAAAACCAACTGTAAGCCGCCGATCGATCAGGCATTGATAAGCGCAACCAAGGAAAGAAATTGTTTCCACATATCGAAAAAAGGGCGTTCAGCTGTAGCACCCATCCGGTGCCTAGCTGCCATGCCACTCGAAGGGAGCATGAGGGCTGGGATACTGCCAGGTTGCCCAAGCCTCGACAGGGGAAGTCGAGTGGCGGAGGTCGGATTCGAACCGCGGACCTTCAGGTTAGTAATCCGCGCTCTAACCACTTCGGCCATCTCGCCCCCATCCACATATCGAGTAGTTCGACGATTTGTGGCAAGGAGCGGATTGTTAGCGAAGGGACGAATTCCACCATAATTCAGTAAAACAATGCAGCACGTACGAAGTGACGACGAAAAAATACAAAACTGATTCCAAACATGCTACCTGCCTACCAGCTGCTGAGTAGCTCATGTACATTTTGACGGATGGTGTATGTACACGCAATAGACAGGATGGTCTCGACACTGAGCGAGGCGAAATATACCTGGGAACATTCGCGACAACCTGAAGATAGAATGTTGAGACCAGAGCAATGTGACACAAACTACCTAGATTCAGATGAGTTTCAACATGCATAACCCCAGATCACTAAAGCAAAAACACAATAGGTTGTCCCCAAACTTACTAAGACTTGCGAGCGCTCCACGCAAGTCGTCTAATCGAGCAGCATCGGCTGTGGGAACTGTGAGGCGAGATTGCGCCTCCGCCTCAGTCACATCTATTCGCACTCCGGTGCGGGGTTTGAAAGGCGGTACAGGGACGGAAAGAATCATTGGGACAATTTTGGTCAAGTTGCGACACTGCGGGATGCCAAACACATAGGCACGCAAGTTGGCTGCGGCAACGACAAAGTCTAGATGCGTATGCTGGAAAAAATGGGGGGAAAATGTTGTCACAAACCGCGAAGAGAGACTTATAACACAATACAGACCTGAGTGAACCTACTCAGATTCAAAGTTAGGCAACAACGTGAGATAAGGAAGCACCCGTATAAGTTCAGTTCTAGGGACAATGCAAAACCAACCACAGTAACAAAGCAAGCTGCTGTTATAGGGCATAAAATGAAACAACTTCGCCTGAGCGATACTTTTTGCTTGCTAGACGAAGTAGTCTTATCGTAAGCCTGAGGCTCATACGCTTGAAACTGATGTCAGTAAGAATGAGATAAATTCGAAGGTTGTGATAGATATAGATAAATCTTAGTTGCGAAAGTCAGAGTTCGGATGAGGAAAGTACACAAAGGTTAACTCACGTCATGGACACTAAACTCTAGGGGGTGTGGGCAACGTTTTGTGCCCGACCAAAACGGCGCCCCGCTCGCAGTAACGTGGTCCGGAGGGAAGTTGAAGAGCAGCTGAGATATAGTGTTGGCGAACAAATCCTGCAACCGATGAGAAGTTTCCAGATATTAGACAAGGTTAACAGCCGGGTGATTAGAATGCTTACAAAGTTACGATGTGTTAATACAGGTCACATCTCATATGAGGGTGTTGATTGAAGAGATCGACGGGAAGTGATCCTTTGTGAGATGATCTTTCTTGGGAGAGAGTTTACAGTGAAGTTGCTTTTCTGAGGAGTGCTCACTCCAGAGAAGGGCAGAAGACAACGGTGCCCTCCGCAACAGGGCATAACATCGCTGTAACTTGGATTTATTCAAAACCAAATCCGCAAAAGCAAACAAGTCAGACGTCTTGTCAGCTTAAATGCACATGGCAGCACAAAAACCACGATAGAGTAAACACCACATTGTTCGCTGAACTCATTGATGAGCGGGGTCTACAGTTGGGACTTAAAGTAACTATCTTTTCACTATGTTGGGAAGATTGTACGGATGGAAAGGATTGGTGGAGCATGGGTTGTTCTAATCACAATAACAACAGATCAGAATACTCCGTTGCAGCTTAACAGAGGCGTTAGGTCAACAGGTTGAGGGCATGGACGCAGAAAAGCGAAGTCGAATCTGATATGGGGAAGTCTGATTCACCGAGACAAACCAGGTAAAACGGGAATTTTTCCATGCTTCAACAAAACGAGAAACCCCCCATGAATGTTGAGACGTGTTTCATGGGAATCGTTGCTTGCATGAGACATCCTGGATTGACAACCGGAAGAATCAGCAGTTAAACGACATCAACCGATTGATATAGCAAGGAACCATCGGGTAAATCACTCATCGTGTGAATACATTCACCTGTTCAAAACTGATAACTCAGGTGGTGATGCGCACGTGATACCTCAAGCGTGCACTGCTTAATAGTGATAACACGCTCACGTCGCATGTCAGATGTTCAGAATCTAAATCCTGGTAAGGACAGAGATATGCATTACCGATGAGCTCAAATGAGGGCCCGACCCGAAACCCTCTTTGGTAAGGGACAGGAAAAGGGGATAATAATGATTTGAACCCTAATTCCGCAAATCCCACAAACAACTGTAACTAACTAAGCAAATGAGCGTCCTGTCGAGCGATTCACTCCAATGATCAGAGGATACTACGGTAATCAAATATTGAAACCCCAAATGGTCTTCACGAGGACATGAGAAACCTGAGTGTAGGATTCCGTACGACAAGTTCGCTAACTTCATCGTCAGATTATTTCAAGCGCTGAATACCAATCACATCGCTCAAGCCTGAACACGTTCATCCGTTCAGACGTGAGAATTCAGATGCGTCCAACGTGCGCTGGTGGAATAGTGGTAACAAGTTCGTCTCGCATGTCAGGTTTCGGGAGTTCAAACCCCGGCACGGCCATTGGATATGCACTGTTGATGAGCTCTAACAAGAGCGAAACTCGAGTCCAGTGCTTCCCCCCCCCCTTGGTGTGGATTCACCAGAATAATTGCGCCAGGACAGTAGGACGACTGTTCAAACGAGTGATGTGGATGTGAACAATACGCATCCCGCAACTCCCACATACTGAAAACATGGTTTCACAAGTACGGTGAACCTTCATAAGACTCTCGCCCTGGTGGGAATCTCTGCGAGCGGATTCCATTCCAAAACAGGAAACCATGTACAAAAGCCGCATATTCTTTCGAACGAGGACAGGACACAACCAACTGGTCTGTAACAACGATTCACTGGCATACAGGCTCAAGTGGAAATGTTTGGCAGTGACGTAGTGTTAGGCAGGAATCCACACGGATCCCACTATACCGCACGTCTGCTATGGCCGATAAGCCTGGCCCGCTCGAGGTTGGCCCAGAATTCGGGACGCTTGCCGGTCCGGCATCAAGACGAGATCTGATTGGTCAACAATCTGGACCCAACAGCCAATCATGACCCAGTATTGGCCAAATGCTGGTTGCCAATGGCGCATCCAGAACGCGTCAGAAACTCCAGAAAGTTATAACCGCTTACGCTATATATACGAAGCGCTGTACAACTGTTTTTGACTTCGTTTTGGGCGTAAATAGACCTTGTGCACCTTTGGTGGTTGTTTTGACGTGAACGCTAGCTTGGGAGGCTCAGACCGAGAACTAAGCTGGGGAAAATACCGTTACTACACGTAGGCGGAGCGAAATCGGACCAGTCTAAAAAGCATAAATTTACAAAGACAGACGGAAGAGAAACGGGTCACACATTCTTGAAACAGGAAGTTCTAATGCCCATAAATGATACAGAACTAAAGAGATTCAGCCCCGTGTAAACCAATTACGTGAGTAGCACACAAACGAACCTGTAGGCTGATCATCGATGGTAGAACAATGAGACTATAAAGTAGAATGAAGAATCACGCAATAGCAGGTAGTCTAGGTTTCACTGTTGAAGCTCGGTGGACTGGTTCTCTAGCGGTGGTATCCGGAGACCCACGTAACCTCGCTTGTGGACCCGCATTAGCATTATTTTTTGAAAGTCCGTAGGCAAGTGAATGCAACCAAACCAGTGGTAACTTAGAATGCTGTGAGTGGAAAAATCCCCGATAACCTCACCTGCCATACAAGACGCGCCCAAGTAACGCAATCTTCGAACTTCGATGGTCTCTTGTCCACCAAGTTTGCCTTCAGAGTCTCTAGTGTTTCAAAGGGTTGATTACCTGGTCCAGCGAGCGCGCGCTCAATGAATTTAGCCGGTTCCTGTGGGAACGAAAATGACGTAAAGAAAACACATTTGTCATTATACCAATCAGAAATGTGTATTTGCTGAGACACTTTCCTGAAAATGGTGTAACCGATAATAGTTATCTCCAAAAGAGCTCGAGATAACTCAATTGTTCGGGCGCGAACTTAATGACCGGAAGGTCCGTGGTTCAAGCCCATCTTGAATGCTCCTGCCTAGGACCGGATAACCTGGCAGTACCTCCAGCCCTCGTGCTTCCTTTGGGTGGTATGGAAGCTAGTCAACGAAAGGATATTACGTCGTCAATATTATTATAATCATTGTTATTACCATTACTATTATTACTATCCCCAAAAGGACGTCGATCATCCGAAAAGTCAGACAGGTGGCTATAGGCCCATCATTAGAAAACATCGTTCAGCTATAGCACTCTTTCGGTGCCTGACTACCACGCCACTCGAAGGTTGCTTGCTGGCTGGGATACTGCCAGGTTGCCCAAGCCTAGACAGAGGTGGGGTTCGAATCGCGGACCTTCCGGTCGGTAAATTCGCGATCTAACCACTTGAGCCATCTCGCCCACCATCGAAGAAAATGACTCAACACGGGGGAAAGTACAGGGAAACACAAACGTCAAGACAAATTCGAGCAGATGGCTATTATTCGGGTATTTGTTAATAAGCATTTCTAAAGAAGCGATGAAAAAACCAAGAGACCCCGGTGCGTTGGCAGTCTCACGAGCTGGAATGCTGACAGGTTGCCCAAGTCGAGGGCCAGAGGTCGGGTTCGAACCACGAACCCTCCGGTCAGTGAATCATCATCATCATCATCATCATCATCATCATCATTGTCATCATCATNAATTCGCGCTATAACCACAGAACTATCTCACCCCGTCTTGCTGTACGCTAACGATTTGACCGACGTTAGTTGACATCATGCATGATTGTATGGCTTATGACTGAATGTGGATTCGGATGCTGAGGACATTAAAACACAGGTTCCTCAAAGCGATCGACTAAAAAGTCTAGCCATAAGGTGGCACAAAATCTTGGAGATAAACTACAAGGGGAAGATTGCCAAACATGTTGCATTCCCAAGAGGGCCAAGACCGCGTTCGTCATATCTATGCTTACTGACAAAACTGGTAGGAAATTCTCAAGTGTCTCGTGGGTAACCCAGTTTAGCTCGTCAGATTATAGACCATACAAGTGATGTGAACTAACGCTTGGAACACTATCAACAGTTTGTGACCCTTTTGGTGACTGTTAGTTAGCTACCACACAGTTTAACAGGCATATAGAGAGGGCGATCAAACTTCAACGGCTCTTCACAAAGAAGGATCGTTACCAGTGACAAGAGAGTCAGAGTAGAGCTCTGGTGCTTCACCAGCGTGAGCACGTCACTGTAGTGAGAACAAAAATGAGGGAGAGGAAAAGATCTGGTTTTAGTGTGGGGATATCACTCACTTACTTTCCCCATGACAACACAAATCCACCAGTGACAAGTCAGAGTAGAGCTCTGGTGCTTCACCAGCGTGAGCACGTCACTGTAGTGAGAACAAAAATGAGGGAGAGGAAAAGATCGATCTTTAGTGTGGGGATATCACTCACTTACTTTCCCCATGACAACACAAATCCGTCATTTGTTACTTCTCTTATGCTGTGGTATTTCCGGTAGGCGACACGTCCTGTTGTCCCAACCGCCTAGCTATTTTTCACTTCCGGAAGCAGTTGACTTTATTTATAGCACTTGGTTTTGTAAGCATGGTATCACTGGTACACAAGAAACGGTTTGTCAAACGATTTCAGTATTCACCGAAAGGGGATTAGCGATTCAAAAGGTGAACGCAGACAATGGTTAAGAACTCACATGAATGTAGGAGGCTATGCTTTGTGACTGTTGTGCAAATAAGCCTTCGAAAAGATCCCTGGCCCACTGTAGAGTATGTTCAATCAAGTAAGGGAAGTTCTTTAGGGTGCACGCGGGGAATGATTTTTCTGGAGGATCCTGAAAATCAAGTAATACAATTAAAGGGAATCAGTGAAAACGATTGCACCAGTCGCCTCACGTGAATGTAATCTAGAGAAAAGCTCTCACTCAATTTCAGCCCGTCCCCTGATACATTAGGAACAAGCGGTGGTTATATAGGATATCGCCATTTCACCCTCCTCAATCTCATTGCACATAAAAACGCTGAAAAAGCGTAA